GATTTGCGTTTCCCTGATGATTAGTGATCTTGAGCACTTTTTCATGTACCTGTTGGTTGTTTGTATTTCTTCCTTGCAAAAATGTGTATTAAAGTCCTTTGCCTATATTTTTTTTAAATTGGATTATTTTATTTTTTGCTATTGAATTGTATGAGTTCTTTATATATTTTGGATATTAACTGCTTATCAAATATGTTATTTGTAAATATTTTCTCCCAAGTTGTAGGTTTTCTTTTTATTTGGTTGATCTTTTCTTTTGCTGTACAGAAGCTTTTTAGTTTGATATCTTCTCACTTGTTTATTTTTGTTTTAGTTGCTTGTGTTTTTGGCAGCATATCCAGAACATCATTGCCAAGACCAATGTCAAGGAGCTTTCCCCTATGTTTTCTTCCAGAAGTTTATGGTTTCAGGTCTTACATTTAAGTCATTAATCCATTTTGAGCTAATTTTTGTGAATGGTGTAAGGTAGGGGTTCAGTTTCATTCTTTTCTGTGTGGATATCCAGTTTTCCCAATACCATTTATTGAAGAGACTGACCTTTTTCGTTTGTTTATTGCAGCAACATTGATTTATAACATTGTATAAATTTCAGGTGTGCATCATTATACTTCTATTTCTGCATAAATTACATCATGTTCACCACCCAAATACTAATTACAACCCATCACCACACACAAGTGCTGAATTATCCCTTTCGCCCTGCTCCCTCCCCCCTTCCCCTCTGGTAACCACCCATCCAATCTCTGCCCTTTCCCCATTGAATATTTTTGGCTCCCTTGTTGAATATTAATTGACTGCACATGAATGGGTTTATTTCTGGGCTTTCTATTCTGTTCCACTGGTCTATGTGTCTATTTTTATGCCAGTACCATACCGTTTTGATTACTATAGCTTTGTAGTACAGTTTGAAATCGGGGTATACGACACCTCTAGCTTTGTTCTTTCTCAAGATTGCATTGCCTGTCATCCATTTTCCTTATGTCAGTCTTCATTTTTAAAAATATACATTTCTGATTCATTTCGCATTTTTCTTAATAAGTGGCAAAGTAATGGATCATATTTTGTCTTTTTCAATACTAATATGCAAGTGTTCCAACACCAATCTAAAAAGGTGTTTTCCACTCTTCTCTTTATTTTATATTAAATTTCATCATAAATTTGATCTGTTTTTGAATTTTCTGTTCCAATGATCTGTCAGTTTATTCATGCAAATACCACACAGTTTTACTTATAGAGTTTTGTAATATGATTTAATATCTGGTAAGACTGGCTAACCTCATGTTTTGTTTTTAATTTTCTTGAATATATATATATACACACATATATATATATATATATATATTTTTGCTTATTCAATAAAATCTCTACACCCAGAGAAATATCTGGTATTTTTTATAATGGTTTTATCTTCCTACCCACAAATATGGTTTTATTTTTCCATTTCTTTACCTATACACTCTATATTAGGGATACTCAATAATTTTCCTCATATAGGCTTTTCACATTTCTTGTTAGATTTTATCCTAACGTATTTTATTGTTTTATTAATTGAGACTTCCTTCTGTTATAATTTATATGTGATTATAATTTAATTTGTATAAATACCTAGATATTCTAGGCTAATGTTATATTCAATTAGGTTGTTATATTGTTTTAATTTTTGTAATAAAAATTTCCCTTCACTTTTGAGTTTCCCAGATATATATTCCTATGTTCTACAGAAATGATTTTACCCTTCATTTTGTGTGGTTAATTGTCTTTATTAATGCCTCCAAAAACTTCTAAATAATTGGAATTTCTTTTATTTCTTCTATGGATATTATTCAGTTCAGAATTTGTACTTCTTCTGGGGTCAATGTCATAAAATATGTATTCCTAGAAATAGCCATGTCAACTAGTTGTACAAATCTTCTCTAATGATTTCTACTCTAAGTTTATTACGTCATAGTCTTCCTTTTATTCATCTTTTCTTGAAAAATCCTTCTCAGGCCCTTTGTATCCTTACATGTCTCTGCTCATAACCTACCTTATATAGCAGCTCAGGAGCCTGGGGATAAACAGACAATTATATTTTAAAAACTATGAACTTCTCAGGCAGGTGCAGGGTCCAATTAAATACATATGTTTCACTGCAACTCTCTCAAGTGTCAGATCTGAATGCTTTTCTATTTCTACCAGGTGAGACTCTGTCTGCCTCCAGGTATTATGAAAAAGTAAAACACATCTCCAAAAGGCTCAACCTATCTCTTTGGAGATGCTCATCAGAAACTTATAATTGTTTTTGGAAATTGGGAACTGGGAGAAAGTTTTTTTAAGATTAATTTCAACTGCCCAATCATGACTCATTGAAAGTACAGGTGAAGTGATAATTGCAGTTCTGTGGAGAGTTGAGGTCATAGAAACACAAACCCATATCTTAGGGTCTGGCTGCCTTCCTCCCACATGAGCAGAGAGTGTCATGACTGTCACACTAAGTCCACTGTCCTGGCAGCAGAAAAGAGTTGAGTGAGTATTTTTCTATTTTACTTTGAGACACAGATTATGTATGGTACTGAGGCATATTAGGTTCTGGGTAAATGCTTATATCTGGGGAAGGGATTATTCTAGGGTAGAAACTAGTTCAGTAATAAACTGACACAGGAAGGACTAATAATTCCTGAGATACAGGCTGAACTTATGGAGAGAGACTGGGGGTCTGAGACCCAACAACAATCTCTAACTGCTCCTAATGTATTTTAATGTAACCCTGGCATATGACAATTGTGGGGATTTGTTCCAAGCATTAGCAGGTTTTATGATCCTTAAGACTATAATTCAGAAATTAACCTGCTCTATAGAAATCACAGAGAAATTTCTATTATTTTTATGATCATTTCAGTAAAAGTTCTATGCATGTGATGGTGAGTGACCTCATCACTGTATAAACAATGTGATCAAGTGTGACATTTGCTGAAGTTATAGTTATTTTTCTGTTATTTAAGTTTGATGTGTTGAATGGAGGTGCTAATTATTTCTCTCCTGAAAATACTTGTAGTCTGTTGATCATCTGGGACAATTTTCCTTCACGAAGTTAGTGAAGGAGGCTTTATGGAAAAGTTAACTTCATACTTGAGAGATTCAGACAGCAGAACAAACTCCAGCATTTTTCAGGCTCAAACGTGCCTTCTGATATTTTCTTCAGTTTATAATATTCTCATGTCATTTTAAAGCTCATCCTTGTGTTTCTCATATTTGAATTTATTCAGTGCACAAGGTTTCAAGTCTCAAATTCCATTTTGCTTACTAGTTTTATGTATTATTACATAAGATAAAGACTAATTTAGTGTCTATCCTAAAATATTTTATTACTTATTTAAATTTCAATTGTTTAGGGAAAAGAAACATATTATGCAATATTTTATGTAGTAGATATCATTGGCAAACTAAATGATATGATTCATTTTGTTACTATACCCGTATTGACCCTTATTCTGTTAAGTCAATTTGTAAATGGAAAATTATTTAGTGCATACATTTTATTAAGACTTTTTAATGTTCATTCACAAGTGATATTAATCAATAGATGAATTCATCAACAATAGTTAGTACAATTAAACATAAAATACAAGTTTCAAATATGACGATGTATATTTGGATCATTTAAATTACACAAGATATGAGAGAATATAGCATAATGGCAAATAACAATGTCATTGCAACCAGGCTACCAGGTTCAAACCTGGACTTTACTGACATTTAGTTGAGTCCCTTAACCTCTTTTCAGCTAAATTCTCCTTGTCTGTAAAAGGAGAATAATCTTAGTTCCTAACTCAGGATGTAAATATCAAATATGTTAAAAATAAAGCATTAATAACACTGACTCATATGTTGTAAGTGCTATATAAATACATCAAACTTGAAAAATCTCTTAACAAAAAAAAAATAGAGAAATAAATTCTCAAGGGGAAGTAATAGTAAGACAGAGATTTTTGGATTTAATTTTCCCTGAAAACAGTAGCCCACAACTTATGTCTCCATGCAGAATCCTCTATTTTCAAATGTGAATGATGAGCCCTGGAAAATAACTGAATGACCTCCATGGATTTGAAAATTGGAATAGTCCTCCTGGTCCAAATTATTATTGGAATCCTGGGAAATTTTTCACTTTTATATCATATATCCCTCTACTTCAATGGAGGTAGGTCAAGATGCACATACATGATCTTCAAGCATTTGACTATAGCCAACACTTTGGTCATTATCTCCAGAGGAATCCCAGAGACAATGGTAGCTTTTGGGTTGAAACATTTTCTCAATGGTTTTGGGTGCAAAGTTGTTTTCTATGTTCACAGAGTGGCCAGGGGTGTGTCCATTGGTATCACCTGTCTTTTGAGTGTCTTCCAGGCCATCACTATCAGCCCCAGGAACTCCAGGTGGGCAAAGCTTAAAGTAAAAGCACTAAAGTACATTGGTCCCTCCAGTATACTCTGCTGGATCCTGAACATGCTGGCAAATATCATAGTGCTTACGCGTGAGACTGAAAAATGGAGTAACAAAAACATCACAACAACTATAGATTTTAAATACTGTTCAGCTACACTTTGTGACAAAGGCACAGCCTTACTAAATGCAGTACTCGTATCCACCCCTGATGTTCTGTGCTTGGGACTCATGACCTGGGCCAGTGTCTCCATAGTTTTCCTTCTGTGTAGGCACAAGCAGAGGGTCCAACACATTTATAGGAATAATATCTCTCCTAGGTTCTCCTCTGAGACCAGAGCTACCCAAATCATCCTTGTCCTGGTGAGCATCTTCGTATGTTTTTATACCTTCTCCTCCATCATTTACATTTATTTTTCTTTTTCTGGTAAGAGCACTAGGTGGCTGGTGAACACTTCTGCCTTAATCAATTCATGTTTCCCAACTGCCAGCCTGTTTATTCTCCTGAGTTGTAACCCCTCTGTATCCAGGCACTTCTGTGCATGCACTAGAAGAAATATACTATTGCCTCATCTCGTCAGAAAAATATAAATTGTGTGTTTTTCACCATGTTCAGTCATTGATTTACTCATCCCCAACAGAATCTCACACACAATCACAAGCCAGTCTCATTGCAGATAGAGTTGTGAAAAAAGGCAGAGACTCTGCTCTAGTAATAAATAAAATAATAATAGCCATAGAAATCTTCTATAATTATTACATAAGTATCTATATAATTACGTTTTAATAATGGTTGCAGTAGAGAAGATTGTAGACCAATTAGTAATAAAACAGCTAGTCCTGCAATAATGCAGAATACTGGAAATGTCTTTGAGTGTGCATCTTTTATTATGAGATATTATTTTTCCCAATATTTAACTGGGCCTGAGATTTTGAGGACAGTTGCATAAACATTATTATCCTGTGTTCTTATCCTTCAAGAAACTGCTGTGGGGGACAGTGGCCCTGGATTATAATGCAAGTTGCATTATAATCTGAACCTGAAGGGAAATTTAGGTTTTAGTTACTATAGGCATTAAAGGCCAAATTATGAGTATTATACTTTACATCCTAAGAGATATGGTGATCATTTGAAATATGAAAATGCTGATGGAGAAAGATTCACATATTAAAATATTTTTAGGTAAACATTGGAATCATGAACTACAGGACATAAAGGAAAACACAGCAAGATGTGTCCACTGATATTTAAAAAGAGTGCAGGGAAGGGATAATTCAGCACAAGTGTGTGGTGATGGGTTGTAGTTAGTATTTGGGTGGTGAACATGATGTAATCTATGCAGAAATAGAAGTATAATGATGTAGACCTGGAATTTATACAATGTTATAAACCAATATTACTGCAATACACAAAAAATTAAAAAAAAAAAAGTGCAGGTGGGAAGCAATCATTAAATAGGCATTTCTTTTCTGGCATTAGATTGAATGGTTTTGGTGCTCTTCAGAAGGCAGATTGCTCCCTGTTACATCTTGTTGCCAATTGTCTCTGTTAACAAGAAACAGGTTTAAAGTAGTCTCCTATATTTCCAATTTTAAGAAGCAAGGGAAGGAGTCTTTCATCAAGCTTGGAGCAGTAGAGAAGTAGCAATTTGGAGGCAAAAGGCATGAATCTGTTGTGAAACAAGGAGTTTTATTGCTTTTGTAGTCACCAAGGGATCACAGTGGACACACTCAAAAGAAAAAAAGCAGGTGTTAACTCAAACATATTAAATAATTTAATGTAATTCTTTACAATTATAAACAGTTGGAATTTTTAATGTAAGTGTTAGTTTGGAATAAGTTTAGACTTGCAGCAAAGAGGCAGAGAGCATACAGAGAGTTTCCATGTACCCTTCACCCATTTTCCCTGACGTTAGTGTCTTAACCACCATGGTACCTTTGACAAAACTGAGAGAACAATATTGGCACATGACTATTAACTAAACCTCAGACTTCCATTTTGCCAGTTTTAACACTAATATCTTTTTTCTCTTCCAGGATCCATTTCAGAATACATTATACTGTCCTTAGTCACCTTGGCCCTCCCAGTCTCTTCTGTTCTGTGTCAGTTCCTCAGTCTTTCCTGGGTTTTCATGACCTTGGCAGGTTTGAAGAGGACTGGTCAGGTACTTTTTAGAGTACCACCAAATTGGATTTGTCTAACATTTTTCTCAAGATTATACTCCATTTATAGGTTTTGATAAGAATATCTCATCTCTTCATGTCATATATCAGGGAATTCATGCAATTAATGTGACATCACTGGAGATGTTAACCTTGATCAGTTAGTTAAAGTAGTGTTTTCCAAGTCCCCACAATAAAGTTACTATGTGTCCATCCTCTATTATTTGGACAGAAGTCACTAAGTCGACTCAATACATGAAGGAGTAGGGACAGTGGAATTACATTTCTTTTGTTAACTTATTAAGGTGTAATTTTAGCTTTCTTTCATTTAATGTTGTTTTAACATGATGCAAATATAAATATGCTATATGTTTTACACAGTGTACAGCATTATAGATTTTGCTGTGAAATGTTGTACTAATGTCAGTAAAATTACAAATGAGATATATATACATCAAAATATATATTTGTTAATCAGTTGTTCATATTATTTAATTAACTTATGCCTTTACATTTCTGTAAAATGTATATATTGAAATAAAACATTACTGTATAATACCACATTTTAGTTAATACTATCAGTTTCTTTTACAGTAGCAATGGACATTGTTTAAGGTATTCAATGTGTAGGTATTTTGTGCAGTTTTATTACATTTAATATCTTCATTATAACCTGTCATTTTATAAATATATAATGCTCTTTTCTAATATATTTAAATTTTTAAACTTTACTTTTTGTTTATTTTATACAAGGAACATTTTTAATGCACTAAATTCTGTGTGTTGTGTGGGTGTGTATATGTGTGCCTATACGTCCATGTATGTGTGCATATGTTATAAGCATGAATATTTGTGTGGGTTAAGTGTGTATTTGTGCATATGTTAATATAACCTTTCTTGATGATGATTTTCAGAGTTAGTTCCAAGCAGTAATGAAGTCTGATTTTTATGATCCTTAGGATTGTAATTCAAAATTAATCTGCTGTCTACTCTGCTCTGCAGAAATCACAGAGAAATTTGCGTGATTAGTATAGCTATTTCACAAAAGTTCTGTGCATGTGATAATGAGTTTGATGAAGACAACTGAATCATTCATCTCTCTGTGTACACAATGTGACTGACTGGCAATTGCTGGAATATAATTCTTTTTCTCTTATTGGATTTTGTATGTTTAATGGAGATGGAGATGGTCTTGCCTGAGAATAGCTGTAATCTATTGCTCAAGGTGGGTTAATTTTTTTCCTTTGCAAAGTTTGGGAAGGAGACACCTGGATAGACTGGAGAAAAATTAAGAACATCAGATTTTTTAGGCTTAAAATGTCTTGTATATCTGTACAGTTAAAAAATTTCTAATGCTATTTTCAGGCTCATTCTCATGTTTCTCCCATTTCCATTTACTCAATGTAGAAAATGTATTGCCTTGACTTCCATTTTTTATTATTGTCTTGTATTTTACTGTCATTCCCAAATCACTTATTATTTTCAGTTAATTTTTCTGAGTAAACATATAATTGTATATTCTCTAGTGATTAGTTTCTACTATAAAGTGTTTTATTGCTTTTAAACTTCACATACCATAGCTTAGAGCAAAGCCAATATTATATGTATTTTCTGTGGTTGGTCTCACTGACAAAAAAGAGATAGTATTGTTTATGTTGCTATTCAAATACTGACAGATATACTGTAAACCCAATTTGGTTAAGGAAAATTATTCAGCACATCTACATTTTATTAAGACCCTTGAATCTTCATTGACAAATGACATTTGTCTATATAATAAATATGTACATGAAATAAAATAGCACAAACTTATAAATTAATCAATGCATATATATGTATATATAATTATGCATGTTTATATATAATTATATATACATTTATAAAATATATATAAATAAAATATATAATTTATATATATATATATAGTAAATATGTATATGTATATGTTTGTATACATATATATGGATTATTTAAAGAACACAGCCAGGTAGCTATGAGAGTATAGCACAATTGTAACACCATTGCAAACAGGCCATCCAGATTCCAGTGCTGACTTTATCAATATTTAGATGTGTCATTAAATTCTTTTGTCTAAATTATCCTTTATGTAAAAGGAGAATAATATTTCCTAAAGCACAAAGTTCCAAATATTAAATAAATTAGAATAGGTAAAGCATTAATAACAGTAACCCATGCATTTTAACTGGTATATAAAGAAATACATCAAACTTTGGAAATCTCTTAGCAAGAGAAAATATATATCAGTAACAAATTCTGAGCGTGCAGTAATTGTAAATAGAGATTTGTGAATTTAATTTTCATGAAAATAGTTGCCCACAACTCAATTTTCAATGCAGAATCCTTTATTTGTGAATGAGAATAATGAGAATTGGAAAATAGCAGAATGGCCTCTGTGGAGTTGAATACTGGAATGATGTTCCTGGTCCAGACCATCATTGGAATCCTGGGGAATTTCTCACTCTTATATCATTATCATTTTCTTTGCTTAGAGGATACAGATCAAGATACAGAGATTTGATTTTCAGGTACTTGACTATAGCCAATTCCTTGGTCATTCCTTCAATAGGAATCTTAGAGACCATGGCAGCTTTTGGGTTGAGACATTTTCTCAGTGATTTTGGATGCAAATGTATCTTCTACATTTGTAGAGTGGTTGGGGTTGTCCATTAGCACCACCTGCCTCATGGGTGTCTTCCAGGCCATCTCAATCAGCCCCAGGAACTCCAGGTGGGCAGAGCTTAAAGGAAAAGTTCCAAAGTCCATTGGCTCCTCCAAAATCCTGTGCTGGATTCTGTGCATGCAGGCAAATAAAATTGTTTCTATGCATGTCACTGACAAAAGGATCAACAAAAACATCACAAAAACTAGAGATTTTGGATCCTGTTCTGCTACATTTCGTTACAAAGGTGCAGAATTAACATATGCAGCATTCATATCCACCGCTAATATTTTCTGCTTAGGTATTTTCCCTTTATACCCTGTTCGTTGAAGGTTTTTATCATAAATTGATGTGGAATTTTGTCAAATGCTTTTTCTGCATCTCTTGAGATGATTATATTATTTATATCCTTTGTTTAGTTGATGTGGACTATCATGTTAATTCATTTGTAAATCTTGAACCATCCTTGCATCCCTGGAATAAATTCTTCTTGACCACGTCATATGCTCCTTTTTTTTTTTTCAGCGATATATATTTTTTATTTTTTATTTATTTTTAATTTTTTGCTTATTGCGGTAACATTGGTTTATAACATTGTATAAATTTAAGGTGTACATCATTATACTTCTATTTCTGCATAGATTACATCATGTTCTCATGTTCACCACCCAAATACTAATTACAACCCATCACCACACATGTGTGCCGAATTATCCCTTTCGCCCTCCTCCCTCCCCCCTTCCCCTCTGGT